TTACAAGTATTACGATAAGATAAATGCAGGGAAAGGAAGAAAACTCTTCTCCTAAGGTCTGGTGCGTCCTGACTCGAGTTCGAAAGTTTGAGGGAACATAAACGCCATCTTATGCCTATTTTGAGTACTGCACTGAGAACCTGGACATCTGCGTCAGCAACGTACACATGTGTACGTCTGGACCACACATGCAGACCCGAGGGACACAATATGTACCTCACATTTGTACTTCTCCTTGTACGTTTCTACTTTGCTGTGAACCGTGTGAAGTTCTTATACTGTTGATTGCCCTCCAATGCTTGCGTCGAAGCAAGAAACCAGGAGGCTCGGATGTAGGGTCCAAGACGAGGATCTTGTTCTTAACTTCAGCGTCGTTCCATAGTGTTCGCCACTGTTCATCCGGTCCGGCGCTGGTGGACCGGAGTGCTTCACCTGCAGTTCAGAAAGGTCTGCGGGACTTAAGGCGTGCGCGTGGTGGTCGGCTGATGTCGTGCAGCGGAATAGATGCGCTCGAGAATGCTTTGTTGTACTCACATAGTGTCGCCTCATCGCGCCTGATGGATGGCGGAGAGATGTCGGCGAGTACAGGAAACCAAGGCAGTGGGGTCGATTTGATGGTTCCGCTGATGGCGCGCATGGATGCGTGGAGCCGGGTGTCGACCAGGTGGGTGTGCGAGCTTCGAGCCCACACCGGAAGCCATCGACTGGATCTCAACACTCCCAATTATCTTATGATTTATTTATCACTTTATAATCACAAAGTTGCTATTTTCCATACGAAAGAAGAAGAAGCCCGAAATGAATAGAGATAAGAAAGGTACACATGTGTACCTTATTTTGCTTCTGTACCTTTTCAACAAACGTGTTTTACGACATAAGTTTGTACCTCATAACGTACAAAACATGTACCTCACTGTAGGTTTCTGCTTTGCTGTATACACTCTCAGAAAAGAGTGAGCGATTTCCCTCAAAATATAAAAAATAAGGAAAATAAGGCCCCATAAAAATAAGGAAGTAAGATCGATAACTACTCCCTTATCTGAGCAGAATCCGTAACTTTTTAAAAGCACGAAACGAAAGGGGGAGAGTACTTTTCAAACTAGTAGAAAACGTAAGTGATTACTCTAAGGAAAGAGAAAGGTGAGCGATATTACTTCCTCGTTTTTACGGGGTAAAATCGCTAACTCCAGATTCGCTCCCTTGGAGGAAAATCGCTCACTCTTTTCTAAGAGTGTAGAATCATTTTTCAAAGCTGCGGAGTTGATGTATTCTGCAGGCACGCACCATTGGCAGCGTGGATTAATTAAATTGAAAATGTGTGCATATTTAATATAATTTATAAGAAAATTCTCTATTTTAAAGCCATGCGTTTCGATTTAGCGCCACCCTCGATATAGCGCAAAAATCAGCCGAGACTGACAGTGGCGGTATATCGAGAGTTGACTGTACTTTTCTTCACGCAGAATGACTTGCCAAAGTACCACACGAGTGATTATCGATCTAATGAGTTGAAGAGGACAAGGCGGAGGAGCAACGGAAGGCAAGCATTTGGGACATTGTTGTGTAATGCCAGTCTTCTTCAGAGGGAAGAGTGGGATGGGAACCCAGGGAACATAACATTGATTCAACGTTGATTTGGTGTGGATGGAATGTTTCACTGTTGAAGGTTTATACTTCTATGTTGAATCAACATTGATTCAACGCGGTGACCATCACCGTTTATACACCCACATTGACTCAACATTGAATCAATGATGCACTATTTACGGTGGAAGTGTCAACATTAAATCAACTTCAATTCGATGGATTCTTTCACGGTAAAAAAAAAAATCCCTTGTTTTTTATCTACCGTTTGGAATTTTTGTGCATACTTCATCTTGGTTCGTTGAGTAGTTTAGCCAATCGCCCTGAATACATTACGATCACTGAAAAATTCTTGATTTAGGGCAGATATGAGGGTGGCTGAAATTACGCCTGGCCTAAAGTCTATCGCAGCAAACAAGCAAACAAGCAAAAAAATTTCTCCAGAGCATCTCACATGATGGAATTGTTTTAATACAAACGTAAAATTAGAAAAAGGAGATTCAATAAAAATAATATATGTACCCAAGTAGCACACTCACGTTGAATCAACGTTGATTCAACGTGAGTGTGCTACTTGGGAATGATAGGCTGAACCAAGTCTCGATCGAAAAGATCAGCATTTATAACTACTATGTACCATTACCCATCAACAATTGTCATTTTCCCACCATGTTCATGAGCGACCTCTCGCGACGGATAAGAGAAGAGGATGGCCTTCTCTTGGAAAGCGAATCACCCACAGGATTTTTCCTGGTGCGGCTCGAACAAGTTCCTTCGTGTTCCACCTGACGTCGTACCATTTCTTCATGAGACGCGCGGTTGAAACTTGGAGATCTTCTCGACGTACATTTTAGCCGTGCCGATGTCAAATACGAACTTCATAGAATGTCCTATAAAACAGTTGTCAGCACCATTATGTCATCCGATCTTAATGTCGGATTTTTTTCTGAGAAAAATCGGGGGAGGGTTCAGATTCAAATTTATTAGCTGAGCATTCATCTTCCATGCTTGGCACTGCCGTGCCTGAGTTCCAAGACAAAAAATTATCATAGGATTAAATTACGCTTTATTCACAACTACACGGAACCCAAATTTGGGAAGATGAGGAGAACCTTCGATCAGGGTTTAGTCTTCAGCGTCTTCACGAACTTAGTCTCGATCACCGTTTCATCTGAAACAGGTAAATCATATGGTACAAAATTTAAGGCAAATCACAGGAACATGTTTTCCTACGTGATACTATTTTGTAAACTAAAATTACTTACGAAGATTGGGAATTAAAAAAAAATAGTTCCAGCTATTTCGACGAAACGAGTTCGCAAGGAAATGAACGGATCGTGCTGGCATCAGTACTCTCACATCAAGAACTCAAAGTGAAACTTATCAATATATGTTTGTATTTATGTATTTACGAAGGAGAAGACTCACTCTTGCAGGAACCTTGGGAGAAACACCAGCAGATGTCGGGAGGATCGGCGCAGATTCCGATCGTGTCAGGGTAGAGATCGAGGCAGAGGTCAAAACAGTCGATCGGGTCGCAGTCTCCTTCGGGATCGCAGCAGCACGGTTGCTGCGGCCGCTGGGAATCTGGGAAATTAGAAGAGCAATCCCTCCGTGACGATTGCTTTGAGAAAACTGCTTTCCAGTACCAAAACCACAAAGCTTCACGGTATTCGTGCTGATTGTGCTAATACTAGCCGTATTCGAAGTCCTCCAGACAAGATACTATCGATTTAATATATGAACACCTATTCGACATGCTCCAAGAAAAGCAGTAATCTACATGAAAAAGGATATAGGAAAACAAAGGGGCCTTTGAAGAAGATGATTTTCTGGATTGTCAAAGAAAATGACAAGACTCAACAGGATACAGAACATATTCAGAAATTGATATGTTGGAATGGTTATTGAAGAGTTCCTTCCAGGTACTAATCAATGGGAAATTCAGAAAATGTAAATATGGGTCGCTCACAAACAACAGCGCATATGGCGAGTAGAGCGAGGATAGCCTTCATGGTGCTGGCTGTGCGATTCCTGAGAGGACTAGAGGACTCTTCGTCTGCTTGATGGTGCTCTTCAAGCCTGATAAGATCTCTGTGTCCTTCAAGAGCTTTTATCTGTCTGGATCCCCAAATCCGTCTTTCCGTGAGAAGGGAAACACATAGTTTCTTAGATATGGGTGTGTTGAAATACTTCTGATCCCGGAACTTGAGTTCCCATCCTCAATACGTGTTATATCTATTTTTAACTCATAGGCAGGAAAAAGTGAATGGCAGGAGCACTTTCTGGACATACTTCAAATGAGCATTCGCGTTTCTGTACCCCGAGAAGCAAAAACATGAATGCGGCAGATGAGATTTCAATTTCTCTTGAGTTTGCAAGTTTAAAGTACACATACAGTTCAAGAAGCACACAGATGGAAGATTTTGCAATTTGTTTATGAGCTATTCCTGTTCAAATGAAGTAAGAATAAATGTGAATGCTTGACGCATCCTTTTTTCAAAGCTCGAATTCTTGGAGGAGCTTCGAGGTAAGAATCTAGTTTTTATCATTTTTCGAACAGGAATATATTTTTTTATTCAATAACCAGTATTCATCGTGCATCGTTCGTGTCATGCGAGTCAATTGCTGCCAACCTGTTCCTCATTGGAAAATAATGTTTGTATTCACACTTCCTTCTTCCGGGGGGGCGTAAATTATCAATACATCTGCCTGCTGGACAAGTTCGTTTTCGCATGATGGCTGGAAGATCTGCCAACGAAGATTGCGAACATTCTTTGAGAAGACCTGCATTCAAGCGATGAGTCTGTCAGTGATTACGAGGCATCAACTGACGATGGAGAAGTCGAGAGACGAATAGTCCAAGCAGCTTCAAAGAAGCAGCTGAATTTGAGGAGAGCCTTCCTTTCTTGACCAGCCCGCTGTGGCCGTCCAAGGTCCACCTAGACACCAGAGCTTGTCGAGACGGTGCGAGAGCGGTGGATGAGGACTACCAAGTGACTACTCCGGAGCAGACTAAGTGACGTTGGCAAGAGCACTATCCACAAGGTACTGACAGAAAATCTGCAACGACGCAAGTAGGAATTTTTGTGGATAGTGCACAGTTTGGGGACCGCATCACTGACCGAGAGCAACAAAGCGGCTCGCATCAACTGTGCCAAGCACATCCGGGGAATTTATTTCCCGCGAAGGCATGGGAGCTTTTTGCAACAAGTTGGCAGTGGAAGACGAGATATGGGTCTATCTGAAAGACCAGGCATGCAAGCAAAGCAACAGGTGCTGGCTGGCGGAAGGTTGCCCACGTGCTCAGATGGTGCGGAGTTCTGGCCAGCAAGAAGACAATGTTGTTGGTGCCCTTCACACCAAACAAGCGCTTTCGATCACGGCAACAGCTCCACGTGAATTCGTCGATGGGGACCGAATCATCGAGTTTGTCGGACATACTGGGAACCTCTTGCACTGTCTCCGCTCTAAGCCCATTTATTTCTCTGACCTGCTCTGGCAATGGGACAATGAACGACACCACACCTCGCGTCAAGGCAAGGACTTTCTGGGTGACAAAAACGTCACAACTGTCGTTCAGTGTTCCAACAGCCCCTACTTCAACCTCTGTGATCGTTTTCTCTTCAATTGGCTTAAGGCAGACTTCGATAAGCGCAGCTTTAGCGAAGTCTCGAAGTTCAAGAGGTCGCGTTGCAGCGGGCTAAGTACCTCGACGAAGGTACTGTACACTCATGGCGAAGTGCAGAAGCTTGTTGTCCAATGCCATGCTCTCATCGAAGCAGGCGGAGATTATGTAATTCATAACATAGTTGTCTCCTTTATTAATAATGGACTTGTGATTCTATAAAATGATTCTTTATACTTTCCGGACACCCGAAGTTTAACATAGAGGAACTGACCGGTCGGAAAGTTGACCGTCGAGGAGGCGACTGGGAATTTGCCAAGTTATCCGTGTTCTAAGCTATCCGCGAGATGAATAAATGTATTGGAGAAGGTCAATGCTGAGCTGACGATTGACATTGTCGACTTCCATTGCTTCTTTGAATCGTTACCATGTAAAATTCAAACATTGTTTAGCACATTTTAGCCCCATGTGACGATTAAGAGAAGTGGATGACTCTATTAGGATAGCGAATCATCAATAGGCTTTGGTTGCACCCCTTTCTTCAACCCCTTCCCGTGGCAAAATTCAACCTCCTTGTATTACTTACTGAGAACATCAACAGCAACGAAATTTGATAGACTTCTTCCTCTCTCAATACAGAATAGCTCCAACAAATTTGAAGCTTCATTTCCCTGGGGTTGCGGAGAACACCGTGTCTCGTTTTTGGAAGATGTGAATTTCATTCCGGTTCCCCCCCCCGGGAGGAGGAGATCAACCATGAGAAAGATACTGACTCTTAGATTACGAAAAGTTTCCTTTTGGTTGTTAGCGATGCACCATTTCGCCATGAAAAGTGAAATTAGCTGTCGTTTAATTAGACTTAGAGAGCTTCCTTTTTTACAGTCCTCCAGTGTTGCTGGATACTATGCCGAAATTATGCCAGATTCAAGACTACTTCAACCTCCATATCGGCGTCTGGATCTTGTTTTTTAATGTATGTACCAGCATTCTTCGGTATTAGTACTTGTAGTCGCAGCGATTTTAAGGTGCTTTGAGTTACAGCCGTCATGTGATGGGTATGGAACTCGAATTGTTAAAATAGTGTACATGAAGTAATGTGAAAACCAATTCTTAATGGCTTTCCCTTCCTTCAACCCCAACCCCCCCCCATCCCCCTTCTCTTCAGGACTCACTAACGTTAGGCCTATGCCTTACCAACAGACTACCTTCATAACTTGATCAAGTTCCTTCGTGTTCCGCCAGATGTCTTACCTTTATTTCATGAACACGCAGTCGAAACTTGGAGATGTCCTCGTCGTACTTTTCATCCGTGTCGAATCTCATAGAATGTCCCATGAAAGAGTTTTCAGTATTTTTGTTATCCGACTTTAAAGTCGGATTTTTCTGGGAGAAACCGGATGAAGGTTAATTTCAAAATTGATAAGCTCATCTTCGATGCTTGATACTCTCGTGTCAGAGAGTTTATTCAATAACAAGAGAAAATCATGGGGTCACAATTCCCTTTATTCACAACCAAGAAGCACAACATGGGGATATGAAGGGGGCCATCGATCAGGGTTTAATGTGCCTTGAGCATCTTGGCGAAGTTAGCCTTACTCGAAGTGGACCCTGAAAAAGGTGTATCATATGGTACAGAAATTGATGGCAAATCATAAGGGTATGCTTTTTTGCATGACACTTTATAGTAGACTATAATTGCTTTGGATTGGAAAATATTTTGAATATTTTCAGCTATTTCGATCAAATGAGTTCTTAAAGAATGGAACGGATCGTGCAAGTGTCAGTACTCTCTTATTAAGGATTAAAGTGGAAGTTTTTATGAGACATGTACTTAAAATGGAAAACACTTACTAGTACAGCTACCCGCGAAGTAACACCAGCAGGTGAATGGTGCCTCAAGGCAGATTCCGACAATTGTATTATCGGGGAAAGCTTCCATGCAGAGTTCGAAGCAGCCTTCTTCGTCACACGCTGAACCTTGTTCGCAGCAACACGGCCCGTCCGGCTGCTTGGCATCTGGAAATTAGAAGTGCAATCCTTCCATGACGATTCCTTTGGAAAAACTGCTTTCCAGTACCAAAGCCACAGTACTCCTTCGGACTAGAAATGGTCAACCGGAGTTCGGTTGTGGCATTCGAGGAGTGAGGTTGTCTAGACACTCGCTCCGTCGAAACATGTAATGCTGGGTGCGTAAGGCGAGTTCGACCCATGCCAAGGAAACCAAAGATAGTGACAGACAAGAATCAACCCTCC